CTTTTCCTTAACGGTTTCATGTTGGATATTGTCTTTGGCAAACAGCATTCATTCCATTCACCTCTGGTCTCATTGTATCGCAAGGTCTGGAAGTGTGGAAACTGAATTTCCCAAAATCCCTTGCCAGCAGAACTCTGGATACTGTTTAAGTTCTGCTGATGAGGGTCATTCACATGAGATTTGGAAGGTAGAAGCCACACTGCTTCCTTGAGTAGGGGTGGCATACTTCAGCTTTGGCAGATGAGCGTGTTTGCAATGATAGATATCAATATTAATGTAGACATAGAAATATATTGTAGGAATTGGCTCATGTGATTATGGAAGCCAGAGGACTCATGGTCTGTCATCTGCAAGTTGATGGACCAGGAAAGTTAGTAGTGTAACTCAGTTTGAGTCCAGAAGCTCCAGGAGTGCCGATGTCCTAGGACAGGAGAAGATGGATGGTCCAGCTCCAACAAAGAAAGTGAATCCACCCGTTCCTTTACCTTTTTGTTCTATTCAGGCCCACATTGGTAAGGGCAAATTTATTTACCTAGTCCACTAATTCAAATGCTAATCTCTTCTAGAAACATGCTCATGCACATACCTAGAAATAATGTTTAGGCAGCTATCTGGGCAATTCTTAGTCCAGTCAAGTTGACACATAAAATTAATAATCACAAACTAATGCCTTGTTAACTTGACACCTGTATACATCTTCCTAAACTATACTTAATCTCCAAAAACAAGGTCATAATTCTGTCTGACATGACACAACTATCCTGCATACAATAAAAAATGTACTAACTCCTTTCCTAGGAGGGAAGGTAAAGTACCTGAGTGATGTCTATTCTTCTCCTGATAGCCTATAACTCAAATACTATATGTAAAATTAATAATACTTAAATACAATGTAAAGTCAACACGTCTCATGTTACATGATAAAAGAATTAGAAGGGAAAGAAAATGAAGATATTTGCTTTATATATGTGTGTGTGTCTATATATAGAGAGACACACACAAATATATTCATAAAAAGAGGAAATGGTCATGAAAATTACAGTCCTTGTTGCTATAACTAGTCGTGTGGTCACAGCTGATGCCTGTAACTCCTTCTTCTACCACTCATTCTTCTACCCATTCTATTTCCTTTACCTTCAGCAAGCGCCTCAGTGGATCATGGGTCCTTATCTAGTGGAGTGACCCAAATTTTCATTCCTGAAGAGTCTAGGCTAGTTGTAATATTGTTATAGTTTTCCATTGACTATAATCACAGGACATGGCAATACTAAGAGACACCCTAAGGCAGGGGTCCTCAACCCCCAGGCTCTGAACCCATACCGGTCTGTGGCCTATTAGGAACCCAGGCCACACAGCAGAAGGTGAGTGATGGGTGAGTGAGCATTGTTACCTGAGCTTGCCTCCTGTCAGATCAGCAGTGCCATTAAATTTTCATAGGAGCACGTACTATATGGTGAAATGCACATGCAAGGGATCAAGGTTGCATGCTTCTTATGAGAATCTAATGCCTGATGATCTGGGGTGGAACAATTTCATTCTGAAACCATCTCCATACCCCATCCATGGAAAAATTGTCTTCTACAAAACCACTCCCTGATGCCAAAAGGGTTGGATACCACTGCCCTAAGGGATCTCCTGTATTTCAGACATACTCTTACTTACCTCCATTGTATAGAAGTAGTCCAAGTACCCTTTCCTAATCCAGATCAATCACCCCAGCCAATACCATAACTCTCTTCTTTGCCTGTTGACTCAGAGGCATGAGGAGCCCAAAGTGACCAGGTGGCAGTCTTCACTTACAGTTCAATGGATTATTGTGTTTCCTGGTGGAAGTAGTTCTACGTCTGGAACTTAAACTTCTAGGACAGCAGAGCATAAAGTCATGAAAACATGGAGCAGAAATGTTGCTAGTGGGTCACTAGGGGTAAGAGGAAGTGGTCTCATTCCCATTTTCCCACCTTGATTCCTGGATCTATAAATCCCAGCTATCAGAGAAACAGCATCATATATTAGATACTGACTCAACATATACAGCCTTCTGGAAAACCTAGCCCCAACCTGCAAGGCATTACCACATAGCTGACACTGTAACCGTGTCTTCAAAAGGTCATTCTACCACTCTATCAAGCCAGCCACTTCATGATGGTGGGGAACATGGTGAGACCAGTGAATTCCATGGGCATGGGCTTATTGCTTTATCTCTTTTTCTGTGAAGTGAGTTCCTTAATCAGAAGCAATGCTGTATGGAATACTATTACAGTGCATCATTCATTCTGTAAATTCGTGGATTGTATTTTTGGCAGAACCTTTTTGTGTAGGGAAAGCAAATATATATACAGAGTAAGTGCATATTTCAGTAAGGATAAGACACTTCCCTTTCTATGATTAAAGTGGTCAAATGTAATAAGCTTACCACCAGATAGCTGGCTGATTACTTTGGGGAATAGTGTCATATCAGGGATTCAGTGTTGGTCTCTGCTACTGGCATATTGGGCATTAATCAGTGGCTACAGCCAGGTTGTCCTTGCTGAATAGAAGTCCATGTTGCTAAGCCCATGCATAACATCCATCCTGCCATCAGGGCCACTTTGCTCATGAGTCCATTGGGCAATGACAGGGTGAGTGGGGAAGGAAGCTTACTGGTACCCATGGAATGAGTAATCCCAGACACTTGATTATTAAAATATTCCTCTTCTGATGTCATCCTTTGGTGAGTATTCACAAGGACACAAATGTCTGTATAATTTTTGCCCATTTAAAAGAGGGTTATCCACATACCTCTTCTCCAAATGTATTTGTTACCAGTTTTCTTTTCTTTTTCTTTTTTTTTTTTAGACAGAGTCTTGTTCTGTCACTTGAATCTGCCTACTGGATTCAAGCGATTCTCCTGCCTCAACCTCCCAAGTAGCTGGGACTACAGGCACATGCCACCACGCCTAGCTAATTTTTGTTTTTTTTTAGTAGAGACGGGGTTTTGCCACGTTGGCCAGGCTGGTCTCGAAATCCTGACCTCAGGTGATCCACACGCCTTGGCCTCCCAAACTGCTAGGATTACAGCCGTGAGCCACTGTGCCCAGCCATTTGTTACGTTTTCCAGTCTTATTCCTTCCAAGTCCCTGATGCTCCTACTAAACCATTAGCTACAGCGTATGGGTCAGTGTATAATCACACATTTAATCCTTTCCCCTTCCAATAAAAGTGTATAACCAGGTGTACTACCTGAAATTCTTCCCACTCTGAAGATTAATCTTTACTACAGCCCTTCAGGGATGTGCCAGAGAGTAGCTGTAGTGCTATAGTAGCCACTTTTGAGTGGTGCCTATATATCATGCAGAACCATTTATAAGTCAGGCCTGAGTCTTCTCTTCCTTTATCAACTAATTGTAGGAAACACCTCATGAGGCCACAGGTGCATGCTGGGAGAGAGAAGGCAGTGTAGCAGGAGTAGGAAGCATGGGCATTTGAGCCACTTCTTCATGTAACTTACTTGTGCTTTCACGGCCTATTCAGGCTTCATCACATATATACCACTTCCATTTGATATGGAGTGTTGCTGTACATACCCAACTTTATGGCTTGTTGGGTCAGATAATACCCAGCTCATGATGGGCAGCTCAGATCATATGGTAACTTGATGGCTCATGGTCAGAAATTCAGTTACTACCAAGGTCCGTTATCAGGCCAAGAGCTTTCTCTCGAAATGAGAGTAGTTATTTGGGGATGATGGTAGGACCTTGCTACAAAATTCTGAAGGCCTGTGCTGCAGGTCACCTATAAGATCCTGTCAGAGGCTCCAAACTACATACTTACATGCTACTAACACTTCAAATACCACTGAATCTGCTGGACTGTATGGCTCAAGTAGCAGAGCAACATGTACAGCAGATTGGACTTATTGCAGAGCTTTTCTCTTTTTCTGAGCACCAATCAAAACTAAAAGCTTTTCAGGTCACTCAGTAAATGGGTTGAAGTCACACACCCAATTGAGAAATACAATTTATTCAAAATCCCAGTAGGCCCAGTAGATGTTGTGCCTCATTCTTGGTTGTAGGAGGGACCAGATTCAACAACTTATCTTTTACCTTAAAAGGAATATCTCAATATGTTCCACATGACTGGGGTCCTAGAATTTCACCGAGGTAGAAGGATTCTAAATTTATTTACCATTCTCTGACATGCAAATGTCTTGTCAGTTAGTGTAGAGAAGCTGCTACATCTAGCTTATTAGGTCCAATTAACATAATGTCATCAATGTAGTGGACCAGTGTAATATCTTATGGAAGGGAAAGATGATCAAGATCCTTGTGAACTAAATTATGCCATAGAGTTGGAGGGCTGTATAGACCCCTGAAGTAGGACAGTGAAATGTTTCTTGCCTTTCCAGCTGAAAGTAAATTACTTCTGGTAGGTTTTGTGAACAGAGATGGAGAAAAACTCATTTGCCAAATCAATAGCTACATGTCAGGTAGCAGGTCATGTGTTAATTTACTCAAACAATAAATCTATATCTGGTACAGTTGATGCATTTGGAGTCACCACTTGGTTAAGCTTATGATAATCCACTGCCATTCTCCAAGATCCATCTTGGATCTTTTTATTTTGTTTTGTTTTGTTTTTGTTTTTGTTTTTGTTTTTTTATTTTTATTTATTATTATTATTATTATACTTTAAGTTCTAGGGTACATGTGCATAACGTGCAGGTTTGTTACATATGTATACTTGTGCCATCTTGCTGTGCTGCACCCATCAACTCGTCAGCACCCATCAACTCGTCATTTACATCAGGTATAACTCCCAATGCAATCCCTCCCCTCTCCCCGCTCCCCATGATAGGCCCCGGTGTGTGATGTTCCCCTTCCTGAGTCCAAGTGATCTCATTGTTCAGTTCCCACCTGTGAGTGAGAACATGCGGTGTTTGGTTTTCTGTTCTTGTGATAGTTTGCTAAGAATGATGGTTTCCAGCTGCATCCATGTCCCTACAAAGGACACAAACTCATCACAGGGACAAGTAGGAGAATTGAATGGGGATGTGATAGGAATCAACACCCTTGCATTTTTCAAGTCCTTGGTGATGGCAGTAACCACTGAAATCCCTCCTGGAGTGCAGTATTGCATTTGATTTACTGTTTTCCTAGGTACAGGTAGTTCTAATGACTTCCTCTTGGCCTTTCCCATAATAGTAGCCATCATCTTATGGATTAAGGAATGAATTTTGGAATTTTGCTAACTTCTAAGTAAGTCTATTCCAATTATGCATTCGGTAGCTGGGGAAGAGATCACAGGATGGGTTCAGGGACCCAGTTAGTGACCACTCAAGGACCCACTTTAGTTTAAGATGGACCTAATCTACAACTCTATTATAATCACCTGATCTTTATAAAGCCCTATTCTGTCTGGAGACCCATTGTAAGGTTTTGGATATCCTGAAATCAGTATAAGTTTAGAGCCAGTGACCAAAAATCCCTGAAAAGTCTGATTATTTCCTTTTTTTCAACGCATAGTTACCTAGTAAAAGGCCGTGGGTCTCTCTGGGGAAGGCTGGGAGAAAGATTAACAATATACATTTTTGGTAGTGTACCAAGGTCTTTTCTTGAGTGAACCCATCCTCTCCTTTATTCAAGGGATTCTCGGTCTGCAACCTGGCTCAAATCCGGGAATTGAGGTCAGTAACTCTGTCTTTATGATTCAAGTTAGACTTTTGCTCACTGGTCCCAGAATTTTTCTGCTTATACAGACCAAGTAAAAAATGTAGTAGGCTTCCGATCTGTTTCCCTTCCAGGAACACCATGATCAATTAGCTAGTGCTATAGGTCTGTGCGTCAGTCTTCTGATTGCTGCTGTGACTCTACTGAGCACTAGAGTAACTATGATCGCCTTGTCCTTGGTGGTTGAGTGCTGCCACTTGGGCACCCCAGGATCCAATTACTACTGTTGCATTTAGATTTTCCAGTTGAGTGGCTGGATGTGGTTCTCACTCTCTAAAGTTGGGCCTACAGAGAAGCACAATCACTATCACCAAGCTCTCCAGGGATACTAGGACACCCTTCACAAAGTATTTCACAAAGTATTGGGGAAAGGTATGTTGTCTGAACCCCTTGGTGTGGGTGAGTAGGTCTTAAATGTCAACTCCACTCTTCCTGAAGCATTTGAATTCCTTCCTCTGTCAAACTCTGCAGATATACTAAAATCATTGACTGAATTGTACATTTTAAGTAGGTGAACATTATGATATATAAATTGCATTTAAATAAAAAAATTTTTTTTAAAAAAAACCCTTTTTTTTTTTTTTTTTTTTTTTTTGTATTGCAGGAAAGAGCCACAGATTTGCTTCTTCCTAGCAAGGGCCTGGTACTAACACCAGTTCCATCCAAATATTGTTCACTACTTCTTAGACAGAGACCCCTTTCTCCCAGGTAAGCAGCAGAATTCCCAGGCTATTGGTAATTCTCAAAAATCATCATTCATCAGGCAGTTGATGAAAGATGACACTTTGTGAATGAGAGGGAATTTAGTCAGGTCAATATAAGATGAGTAGAAGTTCAAGTTATAATGAAGTCAGTGTATTAAGGTTTAAAAGCATTTGGATAGATGTGTGGGTGAGGAAGAAATAAATCACCATGGACATCTCATAAGAGAAGAGTAGCTTCCAGGCTTTCTGACCAGTGGTCCGGCACCTGAGCCTCTGATATTCCAGGAAATAGAGTGGATGCTTAATCTTACTCTTCATCTGCCTAGCCAGGTGTATTTGTCCATTTTAATGCTGCTATGAAAAACTGCCCAAGACTAGTAATTTCTAAAGGAAAGAAGTTTAATTAACTCACAGCTCCACATGACCTAGGAGGCCTCAGGAAACCTACAATCATGGCAGAAGGGGAACCAAAAACAACCTTCTTCACATGATAGCATGAAGGAGAAGTGCCAAGCAAAAAGGGGAAAAGCCTCTTATGAAACCATTAGATCTCCTGAGAAATCACTCATTATCACAAGAACAGCATAAGGGTAACCTCCTGCATCATTCAATTATCTCCCACAGGATCCCTCCCGTGACAAGTGGGGATTATAGGAACTATAATTCAAGATGAGATTTTGGTGGGGACACAGTTAAATCATATCATTCCACCTGTAGTCCCTCTCAAATCTCATGCCCTCACATTTCAAAACAATTATACCCTTCCAATAGTCCCCTAAAGTCATAACTAATTCCAGCATTAACTCAAAAGTCCAAGTCCAAAGTCTCATCTGAGACAAGGCAAGCCTCTTCCACCTATGAGCCTGTAAAATCAAAAGCCAGTTAGTTACTTCCTAGATACAACGGGGGCAAAGACATTGGGTAAATACACCTATTTACCTAAATTTACATATTGGGTAAATACGCCCATTCCAAATGGGAGAAATTGGCCAAAAGAAAGGGGCTACAGGCCCCATGCAAGTCCAAAATCCAATAGGGCAGTCATTAAACCTTAAAGTTCCAAAAAGATCTCCTTTGACTCCATGTCTCACATCCAGGTCATGCTGATGCAAGAGGTGGGCTCTCACAGCCTTGGACAGCTCTGCCCCTGTGGCTTTGCAAGGTACAGTTCCCCTCCTGGCTGCTTTCACGGGTTGGCATTGAGTGTCTGTGGCTTTTCTAGGTGCATGGCATAAGCTGTTGGTAGATTTACCATTCTGGAGTCTGGAGGACGGTGGCCCTCTTCTCACAGCTCCACTAGATAGTGTGCCCATGGGGACTGTGTGTGGAGGTTCCAACCTCACATTTCCCTTCCACACTGCCCTGGCAGAGATTCTCCATGAGGGCTCTGCCCCTGCAGCAAACTTCTGCTGGACATCCAGGCATTTCGGTACATCCCCTGAAATCTAGGTAGAGGTCCCCAAACCTTAATTCTTGACTTCTGCCTACCTGCAGGCCCAACACCATGTGGATGTTGCCAAGGTTGGGGCTTATACCCTCTGAAGCAATGCCCTGAGCTCTACCTTGCTCTCTTTTAGCCACAGCTGGAACTGAAGCAGCTGGGATACAGGGCACCATGTCCTGAGACTGCACAGAGAAAGGGGGCCCTGGGCGTGGCTTATGAAACCATTTTTCCCTTCTGGTTCTCAGGGCCAGTGATGGGAGGGACTGCTGGGAAGAACTCTGACATGCCCTGGAGACATATCCCCATTGTCTTGGTGATTAATATTTGGCTCCTCATTACTTATGCAAATTTCTGCAGCCAGCTTGAATTTCTCCCCAGAAAAAGGGGTTTTTCTTTTCTATTGCATTGCCAGCCTGCAAATTTTCCAAACTTTTATGCTCTGCTTCCTCTTGAACACTTTGTCTCTAGAATTTTTTTCCACTGCTTACACTAAATCATCTCTCTCAAGTCCAAAGTTCCACAGATCTCTAGGGCAGGGACAAATGCTGCCAGTCTCTTTGCATAACAAGAGTGACATTTACATCAGTTCCCAAAAGATTCCCCATCTCTGTCTGAGACCACCTCGGCCTGGACTTCGTTGTCTATATCACTATCAGCATTCTGGCCAAAGCCATTCAACAAGTCTCTAGGAAGTTCCAAACTTTCCCAGATCTTCTTGTCTTCTGAGCCCTCCAAGTCTCTAGGAAGTTCCAAACTTTCTCACATTTTCCTCTCCTCTACTGAGCTTTCCAACCTGTTCCAACCTCTCCCTGTTACCCAGTTCCAAAGTTGCTTCCGCATCTTTGGGTATCATAGCAGTGCCACACTCCCGGTACCAATTTACTGTATTAGTCTGTTCTAATGCTGCTATAAAGAACTATCTGAGACTGGGCAATTTTTAAAGAAAAGAAGTTTAATTGACTCACAGTTCCACACGGCTGAGAATGTTTCAGGAAACTAATAATCATAGTGGAAGGGGAAGCAAACACATCCTTCTTCACATAATGGCAGAAAGGAGAAGTTCTGAGCCAAAGGGAGAAAAGCCCCTTATAAAACCATCAGATCTCATGAGAAATCACTCACTATCAGAGAATAGCATGGGGGTAACCACCCCATGATTCAACTACCTCTCCCTGGATATCTACCATGACATGTGGGGATTATGGGAACTGCAATTCAAGATGAGATTTGGGTGGGGACACAGCCTAACCACGTCACCGGGTTGCTGTGTTTCTGAGGTCTAAATTTGAGTCAGCTAATGGATACCCATGTTGTAGCAGTTATAGATTATAATTTCCAAAAATTAAAAAGATTGATCAGTAAGTTTAAATTAGAGTGCTTTTGAAATTTGGCATGTTGAAAGATTTTTCACAGATACGTTGTTAGTGTGGCGAATGCAAGAGAATCAGGAGCAGGTAGATAATCACTTTTACAACCTATGACTCAGCTAATTTTATTTTCAATTTCTTCCATATGAACTTAATTTTCTCTTCCGTGTTCTTTTCTGAAACTGATTGTGTTTTCACAAGTTTCTTCACATAAAAAAAAATCAGCATTCATTCTTTTGCCAAAACATTCATCCTGCTTGTTTCTAAACACTCCTTTCTCTCTTAAGAGTTTTCCCCTGCTCCTACAGAGGAATAACTCATTTACCTGCCTTTTGAATTTGGTTTCTCTCACTTCAGGATAAGTAGCCCTAGATCTCCATGCTCAGACCTCCTCACTCTCATTGACAATCTCTATTTATCTTCAGGATCTTTTGTTTTGTTTTGTTTTTTTTGAGATGGAGTCTCACTCTGTCGCCCAAGCTGGAGTGCAGTGATGATATCTCAGCTCACTGCAAGCTCTGCCTCCCTAGGTTCAGGTCATTCTCCTGCCTCAGCCTCCCGAGTAGCTGGGACTACAGGCGCCCACAACTGGCTAATTTTTTATATTTTTGGTAGAGATGGGGTTTCACCGTGTTAGCCAGGACGGTCTCGAACTCCTGACCTCGTGATCCGCCCGCCTCAGCCTCCCAAAGTGCTGAGATTACGTTATAGGCGTGAGCCACCACGCCCGGCCCTATCTTCAGAATCTTTAAATTCAGGAGTAAGTACAAGATTTCTAACAATATCTTCCAGAATACTTTATCTGAACCCACTCATTAACACTTCTGCATTAAAAAAAAAAAAGAAAAAGAAAAAGAAAGCTCTACTGGCTGTCTTCTACCTTACTCTACTAGAGTTAGGCAAAACGTTCTGTAAAATGTTTATAAAGACACTTTGTGCTTAGCCAGAATATAGCATATATTCAAGATAAAAAAAAAAATCTGGGCAGTGATTTCAAAATGGATAGGAACTTCTATTTAAATAAGAAATGAAGACTACTGGATCAGACTGATTGGCTTTTCCACGAATCCTTGTTGCTGTTATAGGCTGTTGCTAAATATACATGAAAATGTTTGTGATAGTCATGCATACCAAAAGTCACTCCTCCTGATTTGGGGTACATCTTGGATCATACGAAATCATGGCGTTGCAAGGCTGGGGTCAGCCATGCTGCTGCCAGGCCAGGTTCTGCTACTCCAGGATCCCACCTGGCAAGGTGCCAGCTGCTTTTGCAGGGCCCTGACCTTTCCGTCAGGCAGCAGCAGAATCACCAGGCAAAGTTAAGCATAACTGTGTCATCCCAGAATGGTGATGTCCCCTTATAAAAGCCACACTGATGAATAAAATATAGGGTGTAATTATCCATAGCAAGTGCCAAGAACGGTCTTATAGCCTGATCTTCTATCTGTAGTATTTAACTTCATTTAAAATCATGAAATAATTTATGTTTAGTAAGAAGTAAAATTACTTAAAGTGACTTTGGTAACTTTGTTTCTGTTTAGACCCCAAAGATAGAAGAATATCTTGACTGATGCAAACCAAAAACAATAAACATTTGATTACCTCCAAGTGTAGACATTTGCATAAGAACCGTGGTAAAGATTACAATCAGTACAGACTACAACTTCTATCTCTAGCCGCATACTGACAGGCAAAGTTAGCTCAATGAAACTCCCAGAGTCAGCTTTTCTGTTTTTAGAAATATAAGTAATTAGCTGTCTGTAGTTTTAAACATCATTTCTTAATGATTTTCTGTAGTAATAATTCTCTGATTACCTAGCAGGGTGACATTCACGAGAACTGTTCTTTGTAAATTGGTTTCTGATAATAGGGAGGACAGGCCAGTTCATGAAGCACAGATAAGAGAACAACAGGGTAGTGGGCCATAAGAGAATAAAGGATTGAGCGTGATCAGAAGAGTGAGAGGCGTTTCCTTTAACACTTTGAGCAAATGAGGTCAACATGTCTCTTTGAGGAGCCTTATATCACATGATCGTTATGGTATTAGTTACTTGTAATAGTAACAGTATTAGTAGTACTCTGCATATTGTCACAATTTCAGATATTTTAAAATTTCCTTCTGAATATATTTTGATGCCATTTCCTCTCCAAAAACTTGGTTTAATAAACGTTGCATCGAACTTTCTACTTCTGCCAATGATTTAGTATAAAATTTGAATAAATTTAGCAGATCTTCATATATTAAGACCCAGTGCCCAATTTGGAATGTTGAAGTGAGGATTAGAAACACATTTTTCTATAACAGAACTCTCTCATTTTCCATATAATAAAAGGGCAAACAAACAGGAAGAAGTGATTCAGTCCTGGAATAGTGATTCTCCTCAATAATGGAAGTTAATTGAAGAGGGATTTTAATGTAGCTCACATTTAGGAAGGAAATGGTTTTCTTATTATTTAAGAAGATCCAAACATTATGATTTCAAGGAGATATGGATCTTCTATGAGGAACTAGTGAGTTCTGGTGGCAGGAGATGAAACACTTTTTTTTTTTTTAAGACAAGAGGAATAGGTGAACAAATATGCAAAGGAAAACAGTAAATACCAAAATATGCAGCAAACCAAAGCAGAAACCCACCCTGGTGCCTTTCCTGGTATCTTTTATTCTCAAAACTCTAGTTTCCCTTTCTAATTACCTGGTAGAAGAAACAGATGGGTGATAAAAATGCTATGATTCATCTCAGGATGCCATAAGGATGTATAAGATATAACAAGAGGAAGGGAGTATGATGACTACTGGTGAAGGACCAGAGCCCAGAAAAGAAGGGAGATGAGAGCATAAATGAACCAAGGCACTGGTTTGGTTGGAGGTCAAGTGGAAGGTCAAGTGGGTAGTCATGGAGAGGGCTCCCTGGAGGAATGTCCAGCTGAGGGATGCCCATAAAAGGATCACACTGAAGGTCTGGGTAGTGAGGCTGCAGGCTCAAGAACAACCATAGTAGGGCTGAGTTTGACTAAGAACACAGGATTATCAGTCCTCAGCCTCTTTTCTCAATAGCTTGAATTTGTGCTTGGTTATTGGTAACATGGAGTAAATAAATGATTGAAGTTTTTTCAGGGATGTGTTTCTGCCTATCTTCTGCCAGGATCCCTGAGACGCCTTTGCTGTGAATAATGGAGAAGCAAAAGGAGTTACTAATAAGACAAACTAAACCCAAGAACAGAGAGAGCCTAAGTTACAGATACATATGTGTGTCTAAGGTAGGTCCAAAGGTATGAGTCTAGAGATATTATGTATAAAACACCTAACTGAATGTCAAAAAACCCACAGGCACTTAATAATTGGTAGCAGTTATCATTACTCATTAGTGTGGGGGCTGGGATGATGACAACAGAATATAACTTGGAGGGTTAGTGTAGAGCAATTGGCTAGCAACTGTAGTTTGAATTTCCATGAAGTAGTCTAAACACAAACACATCAAAACTGAAACCACAACTATGTGATTTAATAATATTGCACATTTAGACATGATACAAGGCACTTTTGCTTACATTATCTTTCTGTGAGATTAACGTTAGACCTGGTATAATTATCCTAAATTTACTACTAAAGAATTTAGTTTGAAAAGTCATGCAACTTTTCTAAAGAATTTTTTTCTGATTTAATAACACTAATCAATGAATTAATCAGTCAACTGTTCTGGCTGTGAAATGTGTGAGAAAAAAAAAGACAGTATATTAATTATATACTGAGACTTGGCTCTGTGTGTCTCACAAAGTAAGTATAAAGTATCAAATTTGTTATAAATGTGTGACCCATTAAAAGAAAAAAAAAAAAAACCTGATAGATGTGTATTTGGTAACAGCTTTTTAGAAAATTTTTTGAACATTTATGGTGTGCAAAAGCAAGTTAGTTACTTTCCTTCAGAAAAGAACAGCGATCAGTGTGCTAAATTAAATTACATGGATAAATTTTGGAGGAAAAGTTCTGATTTTTGTGCAAAGTTTGCATTCTGGATTGAGGTCCAGTTTCTTTTTGAAGTATCTGAAATCAAACGTATATTCCCAAACCCTGAGGACTGATTTCCTTCTGAAGACCACCCTCTCTTCTATTTGAGGAACTCATATTCCTTCTTGTAACACTACTCTGATTCTATACCAAGCAACCTTGGCCTTGTTAAGACAAGAAAGTTGCCTTAAGCACTTTGAAAAGCTTTCCTACATTCACTGTTGGTGGATGGTGTCTCTATACTACTTGTTCCCCTGTAGAGCCTCAGATTGGAGATATAAAGGGTGAAATAACAGCCAAGTACTTCAGAGCTAAGTACTTTACATATAACTCATTTAATCCTCACAACATTGCTATGAAACAAGTACTATTATTAATCCCAGTTTACAGATAGGAACTGAGGCAGAGAGAGATTAAATAATCAAAGTTTACCTACTAGATAACAGAACGCGCATAGAAACCAAGCCATTTTGGCTTCTCCTGCTTTTAACACCAGGGTGGTAAAAGAGGAAATTTGGGTTCATTCCCACAGAGAAGAGGTTATTAAGGCTCAGACTGGACAGATAGCATGGGAATGATGAGTAAGCAGGAAATTTAAGAGTCGGATCTTTGAAAAATATGACAAAGCCTAGAGACTGGCAACTTACATGATCTGAGAAAAGTGAGAAGGCCAGTGTTCCTTGTTTGGAAACATGAGGAATAATGGGACCACTGGTTGAAATGGAGTGCAAATGTCTTAGAAGAAAGGGAAAAAAATGACACCAACTTGGCCCTCAAGTATATTTGGAGTATATTCTATTTCTCTTTTCATTAGAAGAAATTTAATTTGAGAGATGAATAGAGAAAGAAAGGGGAAAGGAGAATGTTTCAAAGAATAAGGTTAAAGTCATCACAGCTTGACAGCAATCTAAAAGTCAAAAAGTATGCCAGAATAGCAGGTATTTGAGACCCACTGTTAGAAACAATTTTATTTTAAACACATGTGGTTCCTTAATGATCCTGGTAGCATGGTGGCTGTGGAGTCCGCCTTTAGCAGGAAGTGCTGATTTGCTTAATTCTATTAAGCCTGTAAGAAAGGTAAATCTGTCTCCTGAACTCAAGGGGCCTCCGCTCTAAAGTAAGTTTGACATTGGCCAATAATCACCCTGACATTCCTGTGGCTTTGGCTGCTTTTGAAACTGCTGAATTGTACCAAGAGAAGAGGCTGAGTGAGAAAGCCTGGTTATAGCAATGGCCCATCGTGTCAGTGCTGGGAGGGTGTATTATACTCAAAGCGGTGTAAACAGAGGTGCTGCCCATTGTGCTCCACTATGCTGGCTGCCTTTGGGATGATTGTTGGGAAAGCTCTGGAAGCCAGTGGTATTAGAGGGGACAGTGTGCTTCTTGAAACAAAGGAGTTAATGGTGAGAATGGTCTTTAAAAACTGTATGCTTTACAAAGGTGAACTCTGCAAACTGGGCCTACTGAAAGAAATAGGGATTCTATTTTCATTACTGTTTTATTATCAAAATACCATAAGGCTTGGCCCTTAGCAAATGGTCCTTAAATATCTGATATCATTAGAAGCTTGCTTCTGTGAAGGGTGATCACCCATCCCAGTTTGCATGAGACAGTCTTAGTTCACATTATTGTCCTTGCATCCTGTTCAGCTGGTATATATCCAAGTCTCTTAATTTTTATTCAAGTATTATTATTAATAGTTGTACAAAAATAAGTCAGAATAAGTTTGGTAGACCTCTACTTTATTTCCAGCTTCTGTCATTTTCTTACTGGTAGTAGGTATGAGACATACATACATGGAAGGATAATCAGCAGTAGCCTATTTCTCTGCCTTTAATTTTTTTTAAGACCTTTCCAGATTCAAGAAGAATGGACAAGGCACTCAGGTATGAGCAACAAATTCCTTTTGTGTTGGAGATCATGGAAGAAGTATTAGATGCTGCTCCCCTTAGTGTAACAGCAAGTTTTGTTGCAGCCTGTGGGGCCTGCAAGCTACCAAAACCACCAGGACCCTAGAAAAGTCACTGGGAAACGTAGAATATTGTAGCTAAATAAACATCATCACATACGTGTAAAACATAGAGACTGAACAGTCCAGTCTTAAAATGTATAGTGAAGTAGTTTGGATGCTGTTGTTACAGTGATTTTGTCATCTACCAATTTTAAGTGTGTAGTGATTTATCTATCACATTATTTGGCAACACTTTCTAAATTTTGCAATACATGCAACAATGAACTAAAAAATGAAAGTGCATGTTTAATTTAAAAATTAAAAGTAAAGCCAGGTGCAGTGGCTCACACCTGTAATCCCACCACTTTGAGAGGCTGAGGCAGGCAGATTACCTGAGGTCAGGAGTTCAAGACCAGCCTGACCAACATGGAGAAACCCTGTCTCTACTAAAAATACAAAAGTGGCTGGGCATGGTGGTGCATGCCTGTGGTCCCAGCTACTTGGGAGGCTGAGGCAGGAGAATCGCTTGAACCTGGAAGGTGGAGGTTGCGGTGAGTGGAGATCACGACACTGCACTCCAGCCTGGGCAACAAAAGCAAACTCTGTCTCAAAATAATAATAATAATAATAATAATAATAATACAAGTAGGATTTTCATACATCATTAAACCCATAATGATTTCACACACCAACTGACAACTAGCAGACAAAAAGTCTTCTGGGAAGTCAGTAGCATCAGCCTTCAAAGTTATCTCAAAGTTATTATTTTTGGGAAGACTATGCTCAAAAGGAGAATTTTACATATGTGACCACAGAAGATGTGCCTGTATATCACCCTTTAAAGCATGAGTTTTTATTTCTACTAATTGGCTGTCAGTTTAAGTTAATTTTGCTCATTTTCACTTTCAAGTTTTTGTGTATGCATGAAGCAGGAAGCAATAGCAGAAAATGTGGCTCCATTAGTAGCAGAATTTCTCAAGCTCAAAGGATGTCCGTTTTGTATCAGCAGATGCTTCAAATTGAAAATCATTTAATTCCAATATATGTTTTTCCCCATGTGCTTTTAGAATTCATTCTCAAAGGTGAAATATCTTGAGATTATTGTGAATATTAAAAGTGTGACCCTGAAATTAAAGTATCTGCTTTTATGGTGATAATACAGATATAAATTTTGATGGAGCACATCATCCTGGTAACAGTAATGTTCTCACTAAATTAAGAAATCTATGGAGGAGAAATGTATTTAGAGTTGGATGTAGTATCCTCATAATTTGTAATTTTATCCAAACAAGCTATAATATTCTACCAAAAAAGAGCCTGTATAGTCAAGACAATTCTAAGCAAAAAGAACAAAACTGGAGGCATCATGCTACCTGACTTCAAACTACAAGGCTACAGTAACCAAAACAGCATGGTACTGATACCAAAACAGGTATATAGACTAATGGAACAGAACAGAGGCCTCAGAAATAACACCACACATCTACAGCCATCTGATCTTTGACAAATCTGACAAAAGCAAGCAATGGTGAAAGGATTCCTTATTTAATAAATGGTGTTGAGAAAATGGTCTAGCCATATGCAGAAAATTGAAACTGGATTCCTTCCTTACACCTTATACAAAAATTAACTCAAGGTGGATTAAAGATTTAAATGTAAGACCTAAAACTATAAAAACTCTAGAAGAAAACCTAGGTAATACCATTCAGGACATAGGCATGGGCAAAGACTTCATGACTAAAACACCAAAAGCAAGGGCAACAAAGCCAAAATTGACAAATGGGATCTAATTATACTAAAGAGCTTCTGCACAACCAAAGAAACTACCATCAGAGTGAACAGGCAACCTACAGAATGGAAGAAAATTTTTGCAATCTACCCATCTGGCAAAGGGCTAATATACAGAATCTACAAGGAACTTAAACAAATTTACAAGAAAAAAACAAAGAATCTCATCAAAAAGTAGGTAAAGGATATGAACAGACACTTCTCAAAAGAAGACATTTATGTGGCCAACAAGCATATGTTAAAAATCTCATCATCACTGGTCACTAGAGAAATGCAAATCAAAACCACAATGAGGTACCTTCTCATACCAGTTAGAATGGTGATCATTAAAAAGTCAGGAAGCAACAAATGCTGCAGAAGATGTGGAGAAATAGGAATGCTTTTACACTGTTGGTGGGAGTGTAAATTAGTTCAACCATTGTGGAAGACAGTGTGGCTATTCCTCAAGGATCTAGAACTAGAAATACCATTTGACCCAGCTATCCCATTACTGGGTATGTAACCAAAGGATTA